GTGCTTTAACCAAACATGTTTTATTTTCGTCATTACAATAAATGAGAATTTCCATCCAATGGTGGTTTTTCTTGTCTCTTCATTTATTTTGCCTGTGTATTCGCCGCTAGGGACACAAAACGGATTTATTGCTTTACATGGAACCCGGTTCCCGATCAGATCAGCAGGCCTATAGGCTTATTTAATGAATTCTCGATTTTATATATATTTTTGATATCTATCTATCTCATCCAGCTCTTGTAATTATTTGTTCATATTCACAATTTCCATTAGTTCCATTTATTCATTATATAACATTTACATTTCTGGTGAAAAATTATTATTTTCAATGCCCAATAATAGTATGGCCTTTTTTGTGGTGAAGTGTTCGACTATATGGTAAAGTCTTTTAAGCTATTAAGCTAGCAGCTAGAAGTTTGTATTATTATATTTAGTGTTATTATATTATATTATATTATATTATATTATATTATATTATATTATATTATATTATATTATATTATATTGGATATATATATATTATATATATAGTATATATCTTGATTTATATATATATATATATATTATATATATAAATCAAGATAGCCGTTAACACTGTTAAATTATACTGTATATAAATCATCAAAGAAAGGTAAATACAAGGTTTGAATAAAGGACATAATAATACATCGCGTAGCATAGCTCTCAACGAATGTAGTCCTATAAATAAATGAATAAAGAAATTGTATAATAAAATGGTATAATAGAATACATTATGTTAATGAATGCAATTCCAAAAAAACTGGAAAGAGATTGTAGCAAACCTTTTCGTTTAGTGCACAGAAATGTTGAAATTAATGATACACCTTCCATAAGTAAACTATAGAAAGTTAAAGATTTTTATGTGTCATTTATAAATGGAAAATATATTATACCAAATGCTCAAAAAAGGTGGAGTTACAAATGGATGCAATAGACTGGGACCTATGTTGGAAGACTAAAATTAATTCAATGTTACATATACAAAATATTGCACAGTTCAATTTTAAATTTTTACATAGACTGTTACCTACAAAACATAGACTAAATGTATGGAAATTATCCACAACCAATCTATGTGAGTGTTGTAATACTGAAAATGAAGAGCACATGCTATTTAAATGTAAAGATATAGAAGAATGTTGGACGAAATTACTCAGTATGGTGCGATCATGTTTTAGAATATGTGATAAAGTACAATGGAACAAAATCGTTATTGGAAGCTATAGCGAAAGATTGAATGAAATCATTTCAATTTTGACTTTCTAACAGATGACAGAAATTTAAACTGGGAAATCCTAAAGGTTACATTCTTTCTTTAACTTAGTCAAATTTACAGTAAACTTATTACCTATCATTTTCCGATGATGGCATTATTAATGTAGAAATATTGAATCCCGACACGATGGCGCGCATTTCGATACTTGGAGTATGTATTATACTATCTTATCTGAGATTAATCAGTGGATCTTTCGGTTTTTATTCCCTATAATATATGATATTGAACTAGTGGGGAACGTAGTCAAAATGACCTATATCCATTAGGCCTAAGTCTGCTTTTCCTAATTGTCGAATTAATAAGAATGTATGTAGGCCTATAAAAAGAATACCGAATGAAAATGGTTCGGAATAATTTCTCGCCAGCCCCGCGGTGACCGCTACCACCCTCTCGTGGTTTCCTCGGATCAGAAGTTAAAATTCCAAATGAATGACCAGCTATACACATAAATGATAAACAAAGTTATATATTCAGACTATGTCTCATATATTTTTATAGGTGATTATGTCATAAATCCATTTACACAGTGTCGATTTCCGCACATTTAGTGTAAATATAGAGGTCGATCACCCCAACGACCACCACCCCCTACTCACAATACAAGGCGGCATATAAACAAATCAAAATACATATAGCCTGGCCTATAATTCTTTTATTTATTATGCATTATTATTATCATACAATACACCGAGTATATTATCATTGTTATCATATAAATGGTATACAGTACTTTAGGAAGTAGACAATTATTTCAAAAATTAAATTTCAAGAATAAGCTTTCTTCCATTGTGGACTTTAAAAATTAATTATGCCAAGAATAAAATATGACAAACTTATAATAGAAATGATGATGATAAAATTAGATAAATAGCCTACAGGTATAACTTTCCGTAAAAAACTTAATTTATTGAATTGTTACACAATTATATGGGGAGTTTAACTTAATTTCAATGTTGAATATTAATTTGTTTTAATGATAATGATTAAATAATAATAAGGATGATGATGATGATGATAATAATAATAATAATAATGACTATTATCACACACACACACACATCCACACACCCACACCCACACACACCCACACACACACACAGAACTTACAAGACTGAATACATACATGTTCGTCACTGGTGCTGGGAATAGTAATAAAAGTGCGGGTTGGGGTAGGCCCGCCGCCGTTGCAGACCACTAACATTTAGACGGAATACACAAACACTGTCTAGCTGTTTTACACATCTTTATTCAAAATGATATTCTAATTAATTTCATTTATTTCATCAAACAATAACAATACAAACAAAACTAACCACAGAGCAAAAATCGGCATAAACAATCAAATCAAAATACTGGAAAAAATAAATAAATATATATAATGTCTCTTATACAAATCTTAATGATACTGTGCGGCAAAAACAATTCATATTCAATCGATGTTGTTGATGTGGATCCACGTATGACTCATCGTAAGAATAAATAAATAAGCATCATAGCCTAATTGATCCCTGTTTAAAGTGTATAATTCGAATACTAGTGTTTTATTGGCATAGCGTAGTGTGCGAAATCAATTGACTTTGGAAATTCGATTGGAGGAAATTTCGCACTTTATGGTATACCAGTACAACACTAGTTTTTGAAGCGTAACACATGAAATGAGATATCAATATGATATGACCTCTTCTTAAGAATCTTAAAGGACAAGACGAGGTATCCGAAGGAATAATTTTATTTAGTGATTCGACGTATTTTATAGCATAAAAAAACACAGAATATTACCACGACACTTGGGAAACAATGTCCTTGGTTGATGTTACAGTCAGTGGTTTAATCAATTGCGAATTTCTAATTAACAATAATAAAGCAAAAACGTAATGCTCAATGTTTGACTTTGGTAAAATAAAACAAATATTCTAATGTCACAATAAAGTTTAGACACAAGCTTATTGTAAATAGTAAGATGGTGTACCGTACCACGATACGACCATAATACTTTGCGCTGTGTCGGTAAAGCTGGGAAAATTGAGTATATGGGCGTGCGTTCTTTAAGCCAAAAATATAATATCTTTAGGTTATGTGAAGTATAAGGTATACACAAATATGAAGATAATATCACAATATTGTAAGTTTATGATATATTCAATTTACAACATACAATAGTCCATCTCTTTCTTTCTTTCTTTCTTTATTTCTTTCATTTATTACCCATAAATATAACAGACTATACAGGATACATATATAGAAAAGAAAATCAAATGATGGGTAGTATGAATCTCTTAGTTTACTATACGATGTCGCATATGTTGAACTCGTGTAACATGCTTGGACGGAGTATACAATCCATAATATACAATGCCTGTTCCAATGTGTCAATTTTCCATTTCTAAAAAAAATATAATTAATATTGACGGTGTTAATT